GAGGTGGAGTACTTAAAGGTTCAGTTGGTAACTAGTTGTCTAACTGTATTATATTCTGAAGAAAAAAACCCAACAAACAGCAAGTGGAACATAGCTAGCATATATAAACTTAAAAGGACATTTTTTTAATTTAAATTATATTCAAATATATGACTTAAAGGCTACTGACTGGAAGTCCAGAGTAACCAGAAAAGAAGCCAAAGCCCCCCAGAAGTCAAGGGAAATTCTGTTATTTCATACTGGATTTTCTTTTCTGCATGGCCAAAAGGCACTTTATTTGGCTCCAGCTTCAGATAGCTGTGTGGTAGTGGGGAGGATCACTTCCCTCTAAACCTGCAGTAATTTAAAGTCAATGGGCAATAATGTTACTAAAAAGTTACTAAGAAAAGAGAAAATAGCTGGATTACCAGAGAGGTTCTTCAGCTGCTAGCATGCTGTACAATGCTTAACCATGACTCAATATTTCCTTTTGGTTCTTGAGTTGTCGTCAAGGAGAGTAGACGTTAAAAAATATGCATCAGGTTCATCGTAACTGAAGACTTCAAATACTCAGGTCACTTTTGTTCTCTACAGGCCAATCATTTCTAGGCATTTTTTTGAATTGACATATAAATATTGTTTCAGGAGGAGAGCGAAGAAAGGAGAATCGACCTGTTCCAAGAGGTCAATTCAGAACAAGGAAAATCTGTTACTCCAACACTAAAATTTATGATCAAGAGAGATTGTCTCAGAATAAGCTAGGAGATTTAAACTTTGATATTAAATTCTTCCTATATTATTCAGAACTGGGAATTATCTGTCAAATAAAAGATTCAAGACCTATCACACAGATGCCAAAAAAGGAAATACTGTAAATTAAAGAAATGTTTACACAACTACAATAAGCTGATTAACACCATAAATAATGCCATAAATAAGAATTACTAGAGAAGAAGTACACAAGAGATATCAGCTTGGTTTCATCTGTTTCCAAAATAAAAGACTTTTTACTGCCAGTGTATCATATTGTATTAAATGACTAAGAAGCCAATATTTTGTAGGGTGTGATGATGCTAAGGATAGTAGTATATAATGCTGTTTTCAGTTTCAGCAGAAAATTTAAAGGCCTACATGACTTTTCATCTTGGAAAATGAAATATAAAGAACATTAGCTTCAATATATCTTTCTTAAAAATGCTGCAGAGAATTAGTTTTTTGTATTATGATTATCAATGGATAAAATACTATATATGTATAAATATATGTGTGTATTAGGTATACATATATGACTCTAAATTCATTTAGAGCAGCTAAATTAGGATAATAGAAAGTTGCTCCTTAACCTAACTCTTTCTTATAAATTGAAGAACTTTTTCAGCAAATTTGTCAGACAATTGCCTCCCAATAAGTGTCATATAAAATTTAACTAAATATTTACTTAGAGAATAGTCTTTAGGCTTGCATATCACTTTTAGAGGATCCCTGATCTTTGTTTACATATTGCAATGTGTTTATGATTGCAAAAAATCCACACAAACAATGTACTCAGAGTAGAAAAAGGTTTTGAGTAACAATTAAAATTCCAATGCATGAAAAAGTTGCAATAGTTCTGTGAAGGAAATGTGTACTCTAGCTGAATTAAATGAATGGATAATTACAAAATAAAACCTTCTCTCTTCTAGTGGACATCTTACTTATTTCCTGTTTGCTTGACTGTTGCGAAACTCATAGTTGAAGAAATCCTTTCTTCATTTCCTTTGTGATGGGAGAGAAAGGCTCTGCACTGGCTTTATAGTAGGCACTGGTAACTTTCATATTTCTAACTACATTGTATTATGTAATTGGGATTTTTTTGCTTGTCTTGTGTTTACAGATGTGGATGTGCTACATTCTCTGATGCTACTTAATTAAGACTTAGCCCAGATGACTGTCTCTCCATATGGAATTTTCATGCATACTATGTATATGAGTTTCAACAGAGTCTCTCAGCCTGCTCTCTCAGGTATGATGCTACTTGATTATTCCAGAAGATTACTTCATTTCAGCAGAGTATTTTAAGTTCTCAGATCAGTACTTACACAGAGTTAAAGGACCTGGAGTTTAAAGAAGTATAGGTGAAGAGCTGCTGATAAGGACTAGCAGCTTCTTGCAGGCATGGCAGTATACATTATTTGGCTCATGCATTTTATGTGGAAGCAATGGCTCCCTGTGTGTATACTGAGAACTGGCATGAGTTGTAAATGAGAGGGAAGGGGAGCTTTACCTTCCACTGAAATAGAAAATGTAGAGCCATATTCTTCCTGCTATTTTTAAACACTGAATTTAAAAATAAACGAATGGGGTACCATGAAAATCCATATTTTGAAAACTGATATGTAATTTTTAAGTCTACTTTGCATATTTGAAATGTGGAATAGTATCCTTCAATGGAAATAATAATATCCTTTATATGGAAAATATTCTTCAAAGTAATTTAGAAGTGGTACTAATAAGTTCTGACATGGCTCCTGTGAGAAAGATTTTCACTGTTTTCACTGTTTCTTACATGCACCCTTGTTCTTTTCAGAATTTCCTGAATGGATGAATTGTGTTACTAAGAAGAAAACGATTGATTCCAGAAGAGCCTTCCTGGGCATTTTCTGGTCATACCAAAATTTACAAGTTACATAATTGAGGCTCAGGTGTTTCTTCTGTAATGCATAGATTTAAAAAAATCTGGCACAACTTACCATATAACTCAGAATTTAATAAAATATGGTACACAGCATTAAAACATCCCCTTTTAAGGATTTTACACGAGGCTTACATGCTTAATAGTATTAAATGTTCTATCTCTGCATGTATATATTGATAAGAAAAAACCTCAATTGCTGGGGGAGAATTCTGCTCAATACATTTATAGTTAGACAGATATGGTATTATTTTTGATCTATGGAGATATTGTACTTTGAGAAGAGGTAAAGAGGAATGACATAAAAGCTTAAGGCCTTTTTGGAAGTAAGCAAGCCTGACAGTTTTAGATCTTATTTACAAAGCATCACAAATTTTAACATTATCAGAGCAATTGATAAAGTTGACTGTTTAAAGTACAGCATGCAAACTCTATGTCAGTTCAACACACGATTCAGATGCACTTGTAGAACCACATTCTTTAAAATAATATGCTTAATGGTTCATAAAATCACAATAGAAAAAAAAAAAAAAAAGAAATCACTATCTATATTTTTATAAAACTGTTATGTATAAATTGTGTGGAATGAAAAATACTGTTGATAAACTTAATCAGTGTTTTTAAATTGTATATTATTAGGAAATGCTTTCCTATTTTCAGTAGTTGATCTCTGGATTTTTTTAATTTTTTTTTTATAATTCAGATTTTATTCCTGTGGATGTTAACTGAAAAATGAAGAATGATGTTGTTTTCACTTCTGAGTATCTGTACATACAGATATTCACCATCTCAAATGATCAATCACAAGTGAAGTGTGAGCATCTGTAAAATTTTCAGTAAAAATTAAAAGAATCTGACTTATAATTTGTACATTCAAAATGACTAAAGAATATGATATGTATTTGGCAGGGCACAGATAGCTGGTAATCTTTGAGCCTTAACAGTAAAATGTCTGCAAGTCTTGATAGTGGCAATATTCCTTAAAAGCAGCAGAATGCAACCAAATAAGTGATATGTTGAAATCAATGGAAATCAAATTGTTGCTGATTCTTAGGAATATTTTAGTATTTTATCTGTAGAAAATTCCAAAGAACTCATCTTAATAAGACAGGGCATATATACTTATGTTTATATATAATAAATGTATATGTGTGTGTGCATACATATGTCTATACTATTATATCAGATAAGATCTCGGTAGCCTTAATCAGGTGGAATAGTATGTCACAATGCCCATTCAAAGGCAATGAGACCACTTGGAGAGCTATCCGCACAGAAAACGTTACTGGAATCTGACTGGTATTAAGACTGTAGTAAACAATCTGTGAAGTAATCCCAGACACAATAAGAACAAAACATGCTCTACAGGGTAAATAGCCAAAGCACTATTGTTGCTATTGCTGCTCGCCAAAAGGTTTTGTGGCTGTGTGGCAGTGGGATGAATAAGGAAGTAGCATTTGCAACATACAAAAAACCATCAGAGATTTTTAAAATATATATATATTCCTTGCATGGTACAAACATTTTTTTTTTGTAACCTTAATGTAGCTTTTAATTATTTGTGCATGAGCACAGAGAAAAGAACACTTTAAGCATGATACATATGATACGTGCCTTTAAGAATACACTTCCCTCTGCCCCAAACCAAACCGGTTTTTATCAAAGGAATGTTTCATGCAAATACGATACAATGCCACATTAACAGATAGCAACACACTATTCTAACATCTGCAAAATAGTCACAATCAACTCAGTTTTCTTCCTGCAGAGTAAGATAGGCAGTTTCAAGAAGGACTTATGGCAATAAATATGCAAGTATAAGCAGTAACATTTCACAGATTTTATTTTATTTTTTAATTTTTTTTTTCAGAAATAAAGTATGTACAATTGTATATGCTCATCCCTACCCCAGTCACATTGAGTAGACTGGATTGAGAGCTGTACCATCTCACTAATATGCCTGAATAATCCTGCACTTGATTGTGACAGACATACTTTCCAGAGGACAAGGTTTCCCTTGTGCTGTGTTTTGTGGAGTGTGTGTGTGTTTTGTGTTTGGGCTGGAATGCTCTCATTTTTTAAAATAAGAAATTGCAGTTATAAACTACATGCAAAATCTGGCCAAGAAAACAAATTGTAAGAGCTGCAGTGGATGTTTACCGTTTTGCAAAATCAGCCATTAACAGACCTTAAGCAATCTAGAATAAATGTAGCTAAATTTTACTTTCTGAGGTTCACTTAGATAAGAGAAAAAGGACGTGAGAGTTATTGCAAGAGGAGGAGGAGCGGATCTGTCTCAAGGTGGAGCTGTATCTTGCATTAAATGACATTGGCAGATTAAAGCTCTCTGGTGGGGAAGGGCTTAAAGGCTGAGTCAAAAGCCAAGAAGTCTCTTTATTTACGCCTACCTCCCAGCCCCTGGCAATCTGACTAATAACAAACTGAGCTAACAAGAAAGACTAGAAAGAACAGAGAGAACACAGAAGCAGCTTGGATCTAAAAATCTGGAAAAAAAGAAGTGATCAAGTCAAGCTCTTCTGAGCATCTTGTTTGTTTACTGCATCCAAATGCTTGCAAACAGTTAACTATATGCAGAAAAGTCAGCATAGCTCTGAAGTATGCTGTGAATTTTAATTGAGGATAAAGGACAACTGCTTACAGGATGGTCTAATGTGCACGCTACTTGGAAGATTTTTTTCAATTGAATGCTTTGTACTTTGTCTTCTGAACAAAGATTTTAACTTTGTGGAGCCCTAGTATTAACAGAGCTTGCAGCAAAGTGAAACAGAAGAAAGTGGGCATTTTTCACAGAGAAAAATTACACCGCATTGAAACAGCTGCTCCGACTGTGCATTACTGAGCATTTCAGGGAGTGTTACTGCTGCACAGGTAATTCAGATTCCAGTTAGTTAATTATCTGAGCATATGAGAAATTGATTTCTCAGTACTAGTCGAATTTATTTCTCTGCATGACTTCGTGTAACTTTTATGTTAAATACTGCCAGTTTATACTGTACTTCAAACAGTCTTCCAGGTTCATTTATTCAAAGTGCCAACTGTGTAGAATGTGTGTATTAAGGAAATGCTGATTTCGGGTCCCTTGAGGGAGGAGGAAGGGGTGGATTTTTTTTATTTCCTGAAGTGCAAGAATGGTCTTAAATTCATCATCTGACTGTGATTTCCTTCAGATTTTAATGAACAATCCTGGACGCTTCTAGAAATTGCATTTCTTAGCTTGAGGCTTTGAAATTCTTCAACATGCATTTTTTAAAACAGCTGAATTAAAACAAACGAACAAACAAAACTCCAAGTAAAATGAAATTAGCTATTTCAGTGTTTTATAAACAGTATGTTTACTACCTGTCATGCATGTGATGCCTTTGCTATAAGGTGACTAGTTCTGAAAGTATCCAACTTTGCATCACAGAAAGGACTGTGACATGCTCTAGTCTTTTAGAATTCCTACTGCAAAAAGCTTAGTTTCAGTATTCAATAGCACTGGCTTACATGAAAGCAGATAAAATGAACTTAAGATACCCTGTAGAATTTGCTGAAAAACCTCACCACATGAAACAGAAAAAGGTCAGGTTTGTCAAGGCTTTTGAAATAAATTTTATTGTGAATTCTTTAATTAAATGTTCACCATCTGTTACTTGAAAGCAGTTTTTATTTTACAATAGTAGCCCACTGAGAGCTTCATTACATATTCCTGAGTGTTCAGACAAAAAAAAAACCACAACAAAAAACCCCAAAACAACAACAAAAAAACCAAGTTAACAAAAACATAAAACCAAAAAAAAGGAATAAAATAAAAAAGAATGCAACTCTCCTATTAATTTTTATTGTGTGTATATGTGTGTGAGACTTCTGGCAGTGCTGCCCACAGAAATATGATGATGATTAAAATGGGGATGTTTTCCAATTGGTTACAAATGTTGCTTTCATCTTTGAGAGGAGGGCTTTCATTTTTATAACCTAATTTCTCAATATGCACTAGAATGTAAGATGCTTTTCAGATATTTATTTTTTTTTCATTTAATTTTGCTCAGGGACTTTGTAAGTACAGTTTGAATTTGATGAAGATCAGACCCAGAATTCCTGCATAGAAAAAGTGTACAGAAATAAAGTTAATTAGTCATAGGTTTTAAGCTGGCATCCCTGTCAAGACCCTGCATTTTTTACCTTGTGTCACTAGAAAGGATACTGAAGCATGTAAAGCACAAATAAATTTATAGCACAGTATAATCCTAGAATTATTCTTCATACTTCAAAATAACATCTTGACATGTTGTGCTTTATCAATACTTCTTGAGAAAACAGACTTAAAGACACATATATTAAACATAGACAGCTGGAGTTCAAGGAGTGTTATATGAGACTATGAAATTACTTTTAGGGACACTTTTTCTTAGGCTGTGAATTACACTTACTACTTCCAAATTCATACTTCTTCTTGCACTTATCAGGAACTACTAATGGAGAAAAATATAATTTACTGTGCACACATTTACTGTTGTTGCTTTTGTGTGTGTGTGTAATATTCATGCTACAGCATTATAAGTGCTGCATGTATAAATCTTTGCAATCAATTTTAAGGGAAGCTGTGGTGTTGCTAGAAATAAATGTAACCGGTCATTAAAATGTGCATTGATGAGATGCCAAATTGGATGGCCACACTGCAAGAATGTCCATGCATGTAATTTAATAGATTTTTGTAAAAAGTTTTAATCTTTCAGAAATTATCACTTCAGCTGGTTGTGTACTAGCATTCTGTACTCAATGTTTCAATAGCTTACTTTGAAAGCTCAAGTGACCTTTATTAGGTTAATTACTTAAGAAACCTGCTTAGTTCAGTCTTAGAATAAATACCAAAAAGAAAGAATAAATATACCAAAAGAAAGTTCTTGTGTTTTAAATAATCCATTCAATTGTAATATTAATTAAAGATTACAAGCAGTTATTTCACTCAATTTCATGTATCAAGAACAACCATTGTTCATGCTAATTAGACAACCTTGACAGAAAGAAACAGAACTTTCAAATGGAGTGTACCATAAATTAGTTCAAAGCAATTATAAGAAATACTTGATCTCAACATGTGATTTTATCTTGTGACTCCATAATTATACTGTAACAATCCATTTATTAGTTATTACAAAGTTCAAGATCAGCTTGACAGGTAATAATTTCAGTTACGTAACAAATGGATGACACTGATGATAGTTTGAAACCCGTAAAGCACAGTTAGTCCCAAGTTTATTTAAGCATTTTTGTGGTAATCAATTATTACATTAATCCCAAGGGATTTAATAATTAATGTCAACATAGGGGTTTTGTCTACACAATTATTTTATGTGTATGTTATATACAAACATGTTAGACCAGTATGTGCTGTGTTTCCACTTTCACAAAATATCCACAAACATATGCATTAAAATTTAAGTAAAGAAAAATAATTTTTTTTTCTACTTCCTTTTCAGTTTGGAGCACAAGGATCGCAGAGGAAAAACTCTTTAATTTACATACATATTGCAGAACTCAAGGAGAGATTCCTTGTATCCTGACTGAATGGGCTTTTGATCATAACACATTGTTGAACCAAATCAAATTATTTTCTTCTTTTCAGCAGCTGAACATTAAATTGAGCTTAGTGAGATACTCTTAAATAAATTTGCAGTGCTAAACAGTGACATAAAGCAAGGATCCAAAATATATTAGTCTTGTTCTAAGTTGCTCAGTGCAGTAACTTATTACTCCTGTTCACTGGCAAGATGTCCTACATGATATATGAATAAAGACAACACCTGATTTCTCCTTCTTTGGTGCATCAGTGGAAAGTACTGAAGTACTTACCTAATGATTGTTCTTATTGATTCAGTACATTAAATATATTTTTATCTATTTAGCAAATAATGAAAAAGTTTTGCATGATATATTGTTTGAAAGATGAGGTAGATCAATGACAAGAAAGAGGAATAGCTATTCATCCTCTCCACCCCAGAAAAATAAACCAAAACCAACCATGAATCTAATACTTTTCCCTTTGTTTAAATATCATTTAATATTATTTTTTATTATTTATTTTTCTTCTTTATAGAATCTCCTGCACAAGATGAAGCCCTGGATTTTTATTCTATATTCAGTTGTGGTTGCATCTGATCCTTTCCAATCACAGCCTTCTTTTTCTTCAGTCAGAGGAATTTGTCAGAGTTTGTGTTCCTGTGAAGAAAAGGATGATACCATGATTATAAACTGCGAAGAAAGAGGCATCAAGATGGTATCAGAAATAAATGTCCCACTATCACAGCCTTTCCATCTTAATCTGTTAAACAATGGTCTGACTATGCTACACATGAATGATTTTGCTGGCCTTGTTAATGCCCTCTCTCTACATCTTGGTTTTAATAATATTGCAGATATTGAGCCTGGGGCTTTCAATGGTCTCAGCCTTCTTAAGCAACTTCATATCAATCACAATTCTTTAGAAACACTTAAAGAAGATACATTTAATGGATTGGAAAATCTGGAGTTTCTTCAAGCAGACAACAATTTCATCACAGTGATTGAAGCAAGTGCCTTTAGCAAGCTCAACAGACTTAAAGTGCTTATTTTGAATGATAATGCCATTGAGTATCTTCCTCCAAACATATTTCGTTTTGTGCCATTGACCCATTTAGATCTTCGTGGAAACCAGTTGCAGACACTGCCCTATGTTGGCTTTTTGGAACACATTGGTAGAATACTAGACCTTCAGTTGGAAGACAATAAATGGGCTTGTAACTGTGATTTGCTGCAGCTGAAGATATGGCTAGAAAACATGCCTCCTCAGTCAATAATAGGTGACATTGTATGCAATAGTCCTCCAGTTATCAAAGGCAGCATATTAAGCCGATTGAAAAAAGAATCACTTTGTCCCACTCATCCTGCCAATGAACTTGAAGATCCTTCAGGGTCACTGCCCTTGGTTGTAACTTCATCTGTCAGTGATAATCACCTATCAACTAAGGTGATTCCTATCCTGAAAGCTCCTACTAAAGAACCACGTTTCAATCTACATACTTCAAAGCCTACTACACAGTTTCCAGGAATCTATTGTCCTGTCCCCTGTCACTGCACCAGCCACATGCTCTCAGGAGTTCTCATGCACTGCCAGGAGCGAAATATTGAAAGCTTGTCTGATCTAGGGCCCCCTCCTCCAAATCCCAAAAAGCTTATTTTAGCTGGAAACATTATTCAGACATTACAGAAATCAGATCTTGTGGGTTATGCCGGTCTGGAAATGCTTCACCTGGGGAATAATCGCATTGAAATTCTTGAGGAAGGATCCTTTATGAATCTGACTAGACTTCAGAAATTATATCTCAATGGAAATCATCTTACAAAGCTCAGTCAGAATCTCTTCCTTGGCCTTCAGCACCTTGAGTATTTGTACCTTGAATATAATGCCATCAAAGAAGTGTTGCCAGGGACATTTAATGCAATGCCGAAACTTAAGGTCCTCTACTTAAATAACAACCTCCTGCAGACTTTACCACCCCATATCTTTTCAGGTGTTCCACTCACCAGATTAAACCTGAAAACAAACCAATTTGCTCATTTACCTGTGAGCAATGTCTTGGATGAACTGGGTATGCTGGTACAAATTGAACTTGACGACAACCCCTGGGACTGTACCTGTGATTCAGTTGGGCTGCAGAAATGGATACAAAGACTGAGTAAGAATACAATGATGGGTGATATTTTTTGTAAATCTCCAGGTCACTTAGCAAACAAGGATTTGAAATCCCTGAACAGTGAAGTTTTGTGTCCAGGTTTAATGAACAGCCCTGCCCTACCAACTCATGCCAGTTTTGTAGTTGTTACAACTTCTACTACTACCAACACTGCAGACTCCCTCCTGCGGTCTCTCACAGATGCCGTCCCACTTTCTGTTCTAATATTAGGACTTCTAATTGTGTTTATAACTATTGTGTTTTGTGCAGCAGGA